GGACTGCAGGAGAAACAGGCAGAGTCAGTTGAAATGAAGGTCACGGTCATCGCTCAGAGGGCAGCTGAGAGTGACATCAGGTTAAGGCTGAGGTTTCTGGCCCATGTCTCCATCTGTTCGTGTTACTGTGAGTCACTGCCAGCTGCTCCCACTGCCATAGCTTGTAGCACAGTAATAGTCGGCCTCATCCCCAGCCTCGACCCCGCTGATGGTCAGGGTGGCCGTGTTCCCCGAGTTGGAGCCAGAGAATCGCTCAGGGATCCCTGAGGGCCGGTTGCTATTTTTATAGATGACCAGTACAGGGGCCTGGCCTGGCTTCTGCTGGTACCAGTAAGCATATGCATTCCCCAATTTATCTCCAGAGCAGGTGATGCTGGCTGTCTGTCCTGGGGACACCGACACTGAGGGTGACTGAGTCAGCTCATAGGAGGCCACAGAGCCTGCAAGAAGAGAAAAGACAGGTGGGCTTGAGAACGAAAAGCCAAGTTCTAAGACATTTCCTTACCTTTTGTACCTGGAATCAAGTCCAGATACTCTGTGGGCCCACAGTTCACTGCATCCCATTGATCTCAGCCCCCGTGGTTCATGTGCATGTAAGGATGAGGACTTTGAACAAATGGGAAAATGGAAGACAGAATTCCCCAGAGCTCTGCATGGCCAGGCCAGCTCAGGAGTAAGGAGAGGATGTCCCAGTCTACAGGGAAATTCTGCTTGCATTCCCCCTTGCTCATGGCAGGTGCAGACTATCAGGCATACCCAAGCCAGTGAGGATAGTGTGTGAGGGGGTGGATTTCAGCCCCACCAGCCTCTCGCCCTGCAGCAGGACAGGCAGGACCCTCCTGAGCTCAGAGTTAGGGCCAGGCTGGACCCAGAACCCTGGGGCTGGGTAGGTGGCAGGGACCCTAGGAGCAGCACCTGTACAGTGAGCAAGGAGGCTGAGGAGGAGAGGCGTCCAGGCCATGGCTGACATGTCCCAGATGCTGCTTCTGAAGCCAAGCTGGGCAGGTTCCTCTCAGGCCTCTCTTATCCCCTTGCTGGAGAGAGCAGCCCATTATGCAAATCAGCAGAGTCAGGGGCTGCTGCTGGAGGAGCTTTGTGGTTTCCAGGAGGGCTCAGCACCAAGGAACACAGAGAGGTTGGGGTGGCTCTGTAAGACCCACCCTCAGCCCATGGGATTCTCTTTCTCTTGCTGGCCCCATAGTCTGGGCTGACATCTCCGCTGTAGGCTATGGTGTCCCGGCCTCACTTCTGAGCTGGCCTGGCCATGCAGAGCTCTGAGGGGAATTCTGTGTGCGTTTTCCAGGGTATCTGATGTCATGCCCCTGTGGTCATTCCTTATCTTGCCTGGAGGTGGCCAGAGAGTCAAATAGCAACTGAAGGATTGTCCTGGGACCTCAGGTCCTCTCTCTGTTGGCACCTGGCTCAGGAGTAGTGTGGGTATTTAGGGACTCCAGGAAAGTGCTGTCCTTAAATGTTTTGTGGCAGAGTCTAGATGTTAGGTGTAGTTCTAGCTTCCCTTCTGGAGGGCACTTTTGAATGCAATAGAGTGACCCTGCCACCCCACTCTACAGGTGACACCACGCGGCAGGCACATCTGCAGGGACCTGCCATTGCTTCTGAGTGGCGGTCGGCAGGAGAAACTTCACCCGTGGCATGTGCACATGGAGTGTTGCGAGATCCAGCAGATGCTGTAAGTTCTGGCCTTGGCTGTGAGTTCTCGGGGCGAGGACAGGTGCTGTACAGCTTCGGTGCTGAAAGAAATCTTTGCCGTCTAGCAGCATGAGGGGGCTCTGAGAGGAAATAGGAGGGAGGTGAAAGACACAAAACGAAAGGTGAGCTCCATGGCAGTGACAGCATTTAGCACAGAAGAGTGGCCCAATGCGTGTGGGGGGCGGCAAAGTATCTACACCTGTGTCATGTATGCAATATCGACAAGAGATGAAGCTGAGAAACACAAGGTTTGGAGAATTTGTCCCTTAGTGGAAAAAATGCTATCTTTCCCTCTGTGTGTCAGCTGATGGTCACTGACCCTCCCTGCCTGTCAGCATCTCCTTGTCACGCAGGCCTACCCCAACCCCAGGTGGCTTGGCCAGGTGACTCTCTGCCTCACCCTTGTGGCTGCTCCGCATTGGCAGCTGGAGGCTCAGGGGCCTCCTTGGTCCAGGTGTGGATTCAGAACCAGCTGCTCAGGCCCCCGATTCCCTGATCTGTGGACTGCTGACCCCAGGGGAGGAATTCCCCTTCGCTGTGTCACCCTTGACTGTCTGAAGACCAGGTACAAGGGTCTCACCTTACCCATGATAATATAAACATGACTGTTTAACCGAGGAGGAGGCAGGTCCACCTGTGGTTGCCTGCACATGTCTCTGGGTGATGGGTGATTATGGAGGAAATACAAGGCTTGGGATGGAAGATGTGAGTCACAGGACTTAGGGATTGGCTTTTACTGGTGCCAGCTGTGGATGCAGGGCCAACGTGCTGTGGTGGCTGCTGCAGCAATGTCAGAGACAAAACAGCATGAACCACAACGAATGTTTATCCAGACCCACTCTGGTCTGGGGTACGTTGCATGCTGGGAACTCAGCAGGAACAAGACACACCATTCTTGAAGTGAGTTGCTCATCATGTTGGCTCCACCGTACGGTAAACACAGGGTTTACAGACCCAGCAGATAGTCCCTGCCACCTTCCACCTCAGCATTGTCCTGTATATTCACTGAAAACACCGGTGCCTGTGATTCCCAGGTCCTTTTTAGCTGGAATTGACCTTGTGGCCAAGGACTGGTCAAATGGGTTGTGAGATTCAGTGGGTAAGGTGGTTCTTAGGAAGTTTTTGTTGTGAAGGGGAGGAACACAACAGATTTGTGTGGCCCTTTTCCTCTTGAATACAGGTGTGATAGCTGGAGCTGCAGCAGCCACCCTGAGGTCTTACAACAGCAAGGATGACAAGACAGCCGACATTATAGGGATAGTGGAATAGGAAGAGACCCCAGTGTGTTCACGGTAGTGATGCGTGTTATTGCAGAAGGAAATATGCCTCTAGCTGTTTGTGCCCATTTTTCATGTGTGTGTTCTTGTGGTTTAAAAGCATTTTTGACAATTAGGAAAATAACACAAATTACTTTCTTAACACAATTAAGAAAATAACAGTAGACAAAGAACTCTATAGTTGTAAACGTTTTGCTGATAATTAAAAAGTTTTAGGCAGAAAATGACAAGCAGGCCATATTAGAATACGAGCTTGGGGATACTTTCACTGGGAGGTGTCTGTGAAGCTGCTGTCAGGTTTGAAAGTAGGAGTGAGTTCCCGGAGCTGTGTGGGAAACGGTGGAGTCACGGCCCTGTGGGAAGTGTCTGGTGCGTGTGAGGATCTGAAAGGGCAGTGGCAAATCTCAAAGAGGTTCCAGATTCAAGCCAGTGTAGGCTCACTGTGCTATTTTAACAAATGAGCAATTGGGGGGCGAGTCATATGTAGTCAGGTGTGGTGACAGGAAATTTCCAGGTAATTAATCAAGTTCTTTGGAGAATGCCTAGCACATATAGGGGCCTCCTGGATGATGCTGCTGGGCCAGAAACAGAGGCGGCTCAGGTGGATTCAGGCCAGCCCGTTGACGCCTTCTTAGTTCACCTGGGGCTGAAGACACTCTGGGGAGTGGTTCCTGGTTCCTCCCCTCCACCCAGTGCCCACCATGCAGCTCTGTGGGGACCTGCACTGCTGCCTGTGCCTCTGGCCCTAAGCCAGCTGTCTGGGATTCCATGTGGGTGACCAGCATTTCTTTCTCTGAAATTTATTTAGGACCAGGGAGCATGCAATCTGCAAAATGCACTTGACAGAGAAGGGAAGAGGCTGAGAGGGGGTGTGACAATCCCAAGGTCACTTGGGAAGGAGAGAGAAAAGGATCACGGAGGCCCTGGACTTGTAACGATAACATCTGGGTGTCTTGGGACCAGCCTGCCAGGGGAGGGCATGGGAAAATCCTCAGCCCGAATACTCAGGGTCCCTCCCTATGGAGACAGCATCTCCCTGTGGGCTCTTCCAGCTGCCTGTAGGGGGCGCGCCTGCCACACTCTGGGTTGAAAGGCATAGGAAAGCCTGTTGGTCCCCGGTGCAGGAACCAAGCCCTCTAGAGATATTTTCCACATCCTGAACCGGCAGGTTGGTCTCTGCAGAGGTTTGGATTTCACGTGGCAAGATGTTTGGGTTTGAAACGAATTCTTTGTGAAAACCATGATACAAATGGAAATTTGACAGGAGTCTCCTGTTGTTTGGGTTGCGGAAGAAATAGGCAGCCTCACTTGAAATGAAAGTCATGGTCATTGCTCAGGGAGCAGCCTGAGAGTGACAGCCAGGTTGGGAGAGAGGTTTCTGTCTCATGTCTTCATCTGTCTGTGTCACTGGGAGTCACTGTGAGCTGCTCCCACCGCCATGGTCTGCAGCACAGTAATAGTCAGCCTCATCCCCAGTCTCAACCCCGTTGATGGTCAATGTGGCCGTGCTCTCCAAATTGGAGCCAGAGAATCACTCAGTGATCCCTGAGGGCCAGTGGCTATCACTGTAGATGACAAGCTCAGCGGCCTGGCCTGGCTTCTGCTAATACCAGAAAGTATATTTATTCCCCAGTTTATCTCCAGAGCAGGTGATCCTGGCTGTCTGTCCCAGGGACACTGACATTGAAGGCAGCTGAGTCAGCTCATAGGAGGCCACAGAAGCTACAAGAAGAGAAAATGGAAGAGAAAAGGCTTGAAACTGAGGAGCTGACCTCCAAGAAAATTTCCCACGTGCCTGGCCTGGACACAGCTCCAGGATGACAGAGCCCTTAGGGCAGTGTGAGCGCAGAAGAGCAGTGTGGGGGGATTTCAGCCTCACCAGCTCCTCCCTCTGCAACAGGGTCATGAACATCCTGCCCACCACAGGCAGGGCCCTGCTGAGCTCAGAGTCAGGGCCAGGCTGGACCCAGAGCCCCGGGGCTTGGCAGCTGGCTGGGACCCTGGAAGCAGCACCTGTGCAGTGAGCAAGGAGGCCAAGGAGGAGAGGGATCCAGGCCATGGCTGAGGCACCCTTGATGCTGCTTCCTGAGGCCCAGGCTGGGCAGGTTCCTCCAAGACCTCTCTTATCCCGTTACTGGAGAGAGCAACCCATGATTTAAATCAGCAGAGTTGGGGGCTACTGCTGGAAGAGCTTTGTAGTTTCTAGAGAAGGGCTCAACCCCAAGGGACACAGAGAGAGGAGGGGTGGGCCCTGCAGACCCAGTCCCAGTGCAGAGAATTCTTCTCCTACTGATCCCATCATCTGGGCTGATGTCTCCACTGTAGACTGTGGGGTCCTGGCCTCACTCCTGAGCTGCCCTGGTCATGCAAAGCTCTGAGGGGAATTCTGTGTGCATCTTCCAGGCAATCAAATGTCCTACCCATGTGGCCATTCCTTGTCCTGTCTGGAGGTGGCCAGGGAGTCACAGTGGCAACCGTGGGGTTATTTTGGGACTTCAGGTCCTTTCTCTGTTGGATCCTGGCTCAGGAGTGATGTGGATAATTTAGGAATCCAGGGATGGGCTGTCCTTTCCTTAAACATTTTGTGGCAGTGTCCAGATTTAGGTGTAGTTGGAGCTCCCCCTCTGGAGGGCACTTTCCAGCCCAGTGCAGTGATCCTCGTGATCCCACTCGGCAGGTGACACCGTGAGGCTTGCACATGCGCAGGGACCTGTTGTTGCTTCTGAGTGGTGGTTCCCAGAAGCAGCGTCACCCTTCTCATGTTCACATGGAGTGTTGAAAGAGCCAGCAGATGCTGTAAGTTCCTGGCCTTGGCTGTGAGTTCCTGGAGCAGGGTACAGGCGCTGTGCCTCAGTACTCCCAGTGTGTGGTCAGGGTCAGGTACAGCTTCCGTGCTCAAAGAAATCTTTGCTGTCTGGCAGAATGAGGAGGCTCTCAGAGCAAACAGGAGGGAGATGAAATAAATGTGCCCACAGGGAGGACAGCATTTGTGGCAGTGACAGCATTTTAGCACAGAAGAGTGGGCCAGTGTGTGGTGGGGAAACCGTGTCTGAATCTATGTCAAATATGCAACATCGGCCAGAGACAAAACCGAGAAACACGTGGAGAATTTGTACCTCAGTGTTAAGGACAGTGCTGTAGATGAACGCCGCCTTCCTTTCTAGGTCTCAGGTGGTGCTCACTGACTCTCCCTGAGCATCAGCTTCCCCCTGTCACCCAGGTCCACCCCCATCTCCAGGTAGCTTTACTAACTGACTCTGCATCCCCTGGTGGCCACTCTACACTGGCTACTGGAGACTCGGGGGCCTCCTGGGTCTAGATGTAGAACCAGAACCTGCTGATCAGGTCCCTGACTCCCTGATCTGTGGACTACTGGCCACAGGGGCGGCATCCCTCTTTTCTGTGTGACCCAAGCCTGTCTCAACACCAGGTGCAAGGGGTGCAGGTTACCCATGAGAATATGAACATGAGAATTTGGAGGAGAAGGCAGGTTGACCTGAGGCTGCCTGCACATGACTCTGAGTTGTGGGTGGCCGTGGGGGTGATATCAGGGCTTGGCACAGGGGAGTGGGCTCACAGAATTCAAGGACAGCCTCTTTTTGCTGACCGCTTTAGGTACAGAGCCAACAGTCAGTGGTGGCTGCTGTTCCAATGTAAGAGACAGAAAAACATGCACCCAACAAATGTTTATCGCCACCCACTCTGGTCTGGGTCACGTTCCATGCTGGGAATTCAGCAGGAATGGGACACAGCGTTCTTGAAATGAGTTGCTCATCATGTTGGTTCCACCGTTCAGTAAACACTGGGTTTGCAGACCAAGCAGATAGTTCCAACCACCTTCAACCCGAGCATTGTCTTCTATATTCACTGAAAAGATAGACCTGTGATCCCCAGGTCCTTCTCTTTTTCTTTTCTTTTTCTTTTATACTTATTTATTTATTTATTTATTTTATTTTGAGACGGAGTTTTGCTCTTGTTGCCCAGGCTGGAGTGTAATGGCTTAATCTTGGTTCATGCAACCTCCGCCTCCCAGGTTCAAGTGATTCTCCTGCCTCAGCCTCCTGAGTAGCTGGGATTACAGGCATGCGCCCCCACGCCCAGCTAATTTTTGTATTTTTAGTAGAGATGGGGTTTCTCCATGTTGGTCAGGCTGGTCTCGAACTCCCGACCTCAGGCGACCCACCCGCCTCTGCCTCCCAGAGTGCTGGGAATAATTACAGGCGTGAGCCACCATGCCCGGCCAATTCCCAGGTGCTTCTCAATGGAGACTGACCGTGTGGTTCAGGCCTGGTCAGTGGGATGGGAGGTCAGTGGGTGAGGTTCTTCTCAGGAAAGTTTTGCTCTTGTGAAGGAAAGAAACCCACTGGATTAATGAGGCACTTTTCTTCTTGAATATGGGAGTGATAGCTGGAGCCGCAGCAGCCACCCTGAGGTCTTACATCAGCAAGGATAGAAACAAAGCCAACATCATAGGGATGGTGGAACAGAAAGTGAGAAAGAGCCTGGCGTCTTTGTGAAAGTGGTGGGTATTATTGCAGGGAGAAATATGCCCTTAGCTGTTTGTGCATCTGATTTTCATATGTGCGCTCTTGTGGTTAAAAAGTATTGCTGGGCCGGGCGCGGTGGCTCAAGCCTGTAATCCCAGCACTTTGGGCGGCCGAGACGGGCGGATCACGAGGTCAGGAGATGGAGACCATCCTGGCTAACCCGGTGAAACCCCGTCTCTAATAAAAAATACAAAAAACTAGCCAGGTGAGGTGGCGGGCGCCTGTAGTCCCAGCTACTCGGGAGGCTGAGGCAGGAGAATGGCGTAAACCCGGGAGGCGGAGCTTGCAGTGAGCTGAGATCCGGCCACTGCACTCCAGCCTGGGGGACAGAGCGAGACTCCGTCTCAAAAAAAAAAAAAAAAAAAAAAAGGGGGGTGGAGTCCAAGCTTTCTAAAAAAAAATTTTTTAACCAAAAAAAATAAAAAAACAAAAAAGTATTGCTGACCCGTTAGGAAAATAATTAACACAAGTCAGTCAATTAATAAAATAATGACAGGAAAGAACCTTACAGTTAGAAACATTATGCAGAAAATTTAAAAGATTTGGCCAGAAAATGACAGGCAGGACATATTATAATAAGAGCCAGGGGATACCTTAATGGGGAAGTGTCTCTGCAACCGCTGTCAGGACTGAAAGAAGGAATGAATGCCAGGAGCTGTGTGGGGAACGGTGGAGTTGGGTCCCTGTGGGAAGGGTCTGGTGTGTGTGAGGCTCTGAGAAGACAGTGGCAAACCTGAAAGGGGTCCTGGATTCAAGCCAGTTTAGGCTCACTGTGCTATTTTAACAAATGAGTAATTTGGGCACAAGAGTCTTGTAGTCGTGTGTGATGAGGGAAAATTTCCAGGTAATTGGGTTCTTTGGTGGCTGCTTAGCACATACAGGGGCATCCAAGATGATGCTGCTAGGCCAGAAAAAGGGGAGGCTCAGGTGTGTTCAGCTGAGCCCAGTGGCTTCTTCCTAGTTCACCTGGGACTGAAGACACTCGGGGGAGTGGTTTCTCTCCTCCGCTCAGAGGCCATGATGAAGCCCTATGGGGAGCTACACTGTTGCCTGTGCCAGCTGCCTGGGGCCCCCTGTGGGTGACCAGCACTTCTTACCCTGAAATTCTACAGATCTAGGGCCTTGGAGCACAGAATCTGCAAAAAGCACTTGACAGAGAAGGAAAGGGACTGAGAGGGGTGTGACAATCCAAAGGTCACTTGCGATGGAGACAAAAAAGGAGGACCATGGAGGCCCTGAACCCATAACAATCGCGTCTTTCTGTGCATCTTGGGACCAGCCTGCCAGGGGAGGGCATGGGAAAATCCTCAGCCCAAATTATCAGGGTCCCTGTTGAGACAGCTTCTCCCCATAGACTCAGCTGCCTGTAGGGGGTGCTCTTGCCACAGTCTGGGTTGAAAGGGAGGGGAAAGACTTGGTCACCAATGCAGGAATCAAACTCTCTAGAGACATTTTCTGTCCCCTGAACCTGTGCGCTGGTCTCTGCGGAGGCTTGCATTTCAAGTGGCAAGATATTTGGACTTCAGATGAATTATTTGTGAAAACTACAATACAAATAGAAGTCTGACACCATTCTCCTGTTGCTTGGGCTGCAGGAGAAACAGGCAGAGTCAGTTGAAATGAAGGCCATGTCATTGCTGAGGGTGGGTCAGAGCGACAGCCAGGTTGGGGGAGAGGCTTCTGTCCTGTGTCCCCATCTGTCCATGTCACTGCAAGTCACTACCAGCTGCTCCCACTGCCATGATCTGTAGCACAGTAATAGCCTTGTCCCCAGCCTGGTCCCTGCTGATGGTCAGGGTGGCTGTGTTCCCTGAGTTGGAGCCAGACAATCACTCAGGGATCCCTGATGGTTGACTGCCGTCTTCATAGATGACCAGCACAGGGGCCCGTCCCAGCTTCTGCTGGCACCAGGAAGGATATTTATCCTCCAACATATCTCTAGAGCAGGTGATCCTGCCTGTCTGTCTCAGGGACACTGACATCGATGGTGACTGAGTCAGCTCATAGGAGACCACAGAGCCTACAGAGAGAGAAAAGAGGAAAGTCTTAAAACTGAGAAACTGACCTCCAAGAAAATCTTCCCACATGCCTGGCCTAGACACAGTTCCAGGGATGAAAGAGCCCTTAGGGCAGTGTGAGCACAGGAGCACAGTGGCGGGGGGGGGGGGGGGGGGGGAGCGGATTTCAGCCCCCAGCCCATCCACCTGCAGCAGGGTCATGAGCATCCTGCCCACCACAGGCAGGGCCCTGTTGAGCTCACAGTCAGGGCCAGGCTGGACCCAGAGCCCTGGGGCTTGATGAATTGCTGAGACCCTGGGGGCAGCACCTGTGCAGTGAGCAAGGAGGGAGAGGGAGAGAGGGAAAAATTGGGGACTGGGGAGTCCAGCCTGACTCTATACTAGTGTAACGCACCCTGCCCTGCTCTGCCCAGTACAGCAAGGTTACAAATGTAGTGTTTCAGGGAGGTGGGGCAGGTGCAATCACTGTAACCCTGACTGAGGATTTAAATGCCTTTCTGTGAATCAAGGTTTTTGGAAGAAAGAAGAGAGCAGAATGAGCTGT